TCTCTCTCTCTCTCTCTCTCTCTCTCTCTCTCTCTCTCTCTCTCTCTTTGCGCCATAGTGAGTGTGAAGGAATGGAAATGTTTTGGCCAGACCAGTGGTGCTCTATAGAAACTTTGTCAAAGAAAACATCTCAGCTTTTGTATCATCCAGAATTATTCAAATGAGTTCAGGAGCCCTCTTCTTATGATAATAGCAGTTGGGGGGGACATTTCTTTGAGGATTCATGGTCCCATTGTGCTCCTCGACAGAGAAAGAGCCGAGGCCAAATTCAACCCCCACCACCGCACATTGCACCGCACCGCAACAACCACGCGGTCTCTAAAATAACCCTCGCCACAGTCACCACAGAGCTGTGACAGCCCTTCTGTCCACCTCTCTCCACCCCTCTGCAGGCCTGAAAAAGAGACTAAAACCTCCGGGCCGATTGCCAGGGGAATAGAGAAGTAAAGTGCGGAGGTTTAGAGCCGGTGGGCTGGCAAGGCTTTGGGAGTTAGAGCTGTTAAGGAAAGAGCAGAGGGGGGGGGGGTTACACTGTTGGGACAAGAGAACCAAGAGGGGGGCGAGTTGAGTTAGGGGGACATAGATGGGGACTGGGGGTGCGGTGCATGTCTCAGACACAATAATACTATTCATTGGGCTCAGACATGGGTGTTAACTCCCCTCTGACAGAGCACAATGGGACTCGGCGGCATTCAGGCAGCCTTGGTGATATTGTTAGTTCAGGGCTGCATTCTCCCTGCCGCAGGACAGAGCGCCTGCATTGTACCCATCCGGCAGGATGGATGGAGGGAGGTTTGAGAGGTGAAAGGCAAAGAAAGAGAGAACAGTACGTTTGTCTATCTGTCAGTGCTGACGGAGCGAGGGGCAGAGGGAACAGAGGGCGGAGAAGGTGGGGAGGGGCGGGCGGAGGTGGTGGTGGCGGCGGCGTTGGAGGTGTTGTGCCCCATGGCATTGGACTTGTTTGTTTCAGGGGGGGAAAAAATAAAAGGAGAAACTGACACTAAAAGAGGCCGTGCAATAAATATTACTCAAGCAGCCGCGTAGGGCTAAAGAGGCATTAAATAAAGGGGTGGGGACGTAGACGATGAGAGGATGATATGGCGGCATTTTTATGGGGGAAAAAACACGCAGTGGGTTTGTGTGCTGCTTCAGAGTTTAGCAGGCATTTTGTTTATACGCCTCAAAAGAGGGAGAGCAAAAAGGAGCGGAGAAAGGGCAATGACAGAAAATGAGAACTGCAGAGGTTGCTGCTGTTTGTGACTCGGATGAGGTTACATCCAACTACCACGAGACCTACTTTTCCAGAGGAGCAGAGAGGGGAAGCAGTATGCGATTGTAAGGGAGAAGAAACAGAGAGCTGAACCAGCACAGTAGCATTGGGGAACGACATAAGTCAGGTTTCCATCCAACTGTAGCACAGATTTTAACTGGCTTTCCAGAAAATCGCGCCGCTACTCGAATTAATGTGCGTTTCCATCCACTACGGTTATGTGAATATTCGTAGTTGGTTCATTTGAGATGAACTAATTGCCACAAAATGTGTAAATCTGCTGCTTGTCCTAAAATTACATTACATTGAATATGTTTGGTTTTGGGATTGTTGCTTTCTGGGCTCCAGGATATTCTGATGGGGACTTTCGACCATATTTTGATGTTACATAGAAAAACAGTTTCTATGATTAATGGAGAAAATAATGAAATGCATCATTAGCTGTCACGGCAGGCATGAAAAGTATCCTGAGCTCTACTAAACAAGTACGTCTTCCTCGTTGACATGTCGCATACAAAAGGCAACACTATGTTGCCATAAGGGCTCACAGACATCTCAGCAAATTCCTTTGGCTGCTGCAGTCACTGAACGCCTGCCTCGCGCAAGAACACTTACAAAACAGCAGATCTGAGGCAGTACGGCACGGATGAAAAGGACAGAGATATAAAAGGAGGCAGTATGCAAGTATCTAATCACAGACTCGCTAGACACGATGACACACAACCTGCATTTGCGCACACACACACACACACACACACACACACACACACACACACACACTATCACTGCTCCTTCTGCACAGAACAACCTGCTTTCATGAACAGTACTTTGTTTGTTTCCCCTCTGGTAAACTCTGACCAACCGTTCCCATAGCAACCTTACCTACTCGTTCCCGATGTGATCGTGTGTGTGTGCGTGTGCGTGTGCGTGTGCGTGTGTGTGTGTGTGTGTGTGTGTGAAAGCAAAAAAGAGGGAGCAAGGTTTGTGGGGTTGTGTGGAGGTTTAGAGCATGACTTCCTGATCTTAATACAACACATGTGCCTCTGTGTGCGTGTGTGTGCGTGTGTGTGCGTGTGTGTGCGTGTGTGTGTGTGTGTGTGTCTGTGTGTGGGATCCTGTTAATGTACACCTTAATCTCTCTGATGAATTTATTCCAAATTATTCCGACATGTTCCCCTTTTCCTACACATCTGCATTCCCTCCCAGCAGTCTGGACCTCCCTCCTCAGAGAAGGAAAGAGCCAGCGGTGGGATGCTGGGGTGGCAGGCAGGCAGGGGCATTGCTCTCGTCAGGGGGCTAATGCCCCTCAGTAGTGGCTGGGGTAGGTAGGGTACTGCCCTTTGTCCCCGGTGGAGGGATTACACTGGTCAACCAGCACAGACAATGTACCACCCTCCTGGAATGGGAGGACCAACCTGCTCTCTACCAATGATAGGGGCAGTCAACTGATCACTAACTTAATTAAGGACAGAGGGAAGCAAGAGGGGAGGAGGAAGGGTGATGCAGGAGACAGAGAGCGAGAGGTTGAGGGGAAGCAGAGCTATGGGGCGATAAAAAAAGGGGATAAAGAAAATAAAGTGGGAGTGGAAGAAAGCGATGCAAGGAGCACAGGGACACGCTAAAATAAGAAGAGGCATGGAGTTAAAAAGAGAGCAATGGGAAGAGGCGGAGGGGTGAACACAAGGCTTCTCTAGCACAGGATTAGGGGAGGGAAGATGAAAGGATCAGATCTAACAGAGGACAGGGAAAGGGCCAGGAGAGATGGCCAGAGGAGGGAGGCCGGCGACTTAAACTCAAAGCAAGGAAATCCAAGTAGAAGAGCGAGAAAGAAGAGAGCTCAGGTGTCTATGACCTCGAGGCACTGGTGGAAAAGGCCTTTTTCTTTTCTTTTTTATAACAAGTGCTACACAATGTTAAAACTCCCCCTATTTATGCCACAGCACACACACCTATTCAAATCCAAAGACAAATGCAGCAGATAATTCTATTACAGACGACTTTAACAGAGGATATTTAGGGGACAGGTAGCGTAGCTCAGCCCCACTGCAGACAGATACGGCTCTGCAATACTTAACAACAGGGATTTGGCAGCACTGTTGATTGAACATGCCAAATCCCATTTGTCGGAGGACTGTGCGCGTTTGTATCGACACTCTGTAACCTTGTGGCTCCGTAAAAGGAGACCTCAGTGTGTGTGTGTGTGTGTGTGTGTGTGTGTGTGTGTGTGTGTGTGTGTTTGTTACTGGCGGGCAGGCAGGTGGGTGGCACTGTTCAGCTGGATAGGTGCACTCCCCTTCATCTATGCTCCTCACCATCCCTTCATCATTCCATCTTCACTTTGCTGTCTGCCTCGATTCCCTCTTTTCACAAAAAAGGGTGACAAGAAAGAGATAGAGAGGGTTTCTCAACACTCCTTTTCTTGCTTTCCCTCCCTCCCATCCTCCCCCTTCCCTCCCTCCGCTCCTTCCATCCCCTATGGTAGAGCTGCCAGACAGGAGTGCTCAGCAGCTCTCCGAACGTTATTGATCCTGAGAGCAAGCCGGCCAGGGAGTTGGTGTCTCTCTCTCTCTTTCTCTCTCTCTCTCTCTCTCTCTCTCCTCCCTCCATCACACCCTCATCCCCCACCACAACCAGCAACTTTTTCCTCCCTCCCTGCCCGCCTCTACTTCATTTATCAAGGTTAAAGAACTCTTATAAAAAAGGGAAGAGGGGGTCGCCTGGATGTTATCTGACTTCATGAAAGAAATCCCCTCAGGCCACTCCACTAGAGGAGGATGCTCTTTGCCAGACCCAACTCTACACACACACAGACACACACAGAACACGCAGGGGCACCAAGCAGCTGCCCACTCATAGCTAGTCAGAAATAGAAAGTAGCCTGTTGCTGTGTTTGGTACACAGCAACAGGGCAATCAGAAATAGAAATGAAGAGGCTGGATGAATGGACATGAAGGGAAGAGGAAATTAGAAAATTCGTTACCCAACGAGGTCAAACATGAGCATTACAGCGACACTTTTCTCTTAGAAGGCACAATTTAGAGTTTATATCATTTATAAGACACTAATAACAAAAACATTTAGGTTGCTATGTTGCACTGAACGCTCTTTTCCAGAAGGTGGTTGAACGGTACTTTCAGCTGTAGCTGCAGCAGTAGTACGAGATGTTTTACAACCTGGCAACAC